GGGCAGCTCTGGTGTCTCCAGGGTGGAATCAGGCTTCTCTGACCCGCAGGCCATCCCGGCCTCCTCGCTGCTGCCCAGGGTAAACATCCTCTTCGCTTCGGAAACTGGTGGGACAGGAAGGTCGAGGGATGGGGAGAGAGGGAGTGAGGAGGGACGGGACGGCCCCAAATCCACACTCCACTCAGCACCAGTGGGCGTGTGTTCAAGGTTTCTCTCAGTCTAGATGAGGACGGTCCACAGGGGCCTCAGAACCCAACCTGGAAACGCTGCGGGAGGGTGGGGGTCGGCCGGGGCCAGGCGCCCCATTCCTGTTCAAGAATCAACTGGAGGACCCTCAGGAGGAGACCCACGGAGAAGAGTCAAGGGCAAGAGCAATCCTGTTCTTCCCCAGGTCAGGAGCGGGGCCCTTAGGAAGGGGCTTGGTCTGCAGACTTTCAGAGCGCGGTGACCTAAAGGTGCAGAGTGTGGTTTTGTCCCCCTGTCCGAGCCATTGTTGGGCGCAGCTGCAGGGTGGACGGAAAGAGGCAGTGAGGTAGGGCAGACCCAGCCTAGATCCAAGGCCCACATCCCACGGACAGATAACATCTGCAGTCAGATCACCTGGGGACCTGCCCAGCACTTAGGGACCAAAAAGGAGGCCCCACGTGCAAAGGACTAACTGCATATGACTCAGAAGATCACGGCCACTGTGCCCTCTGCCCGTCCCGTCTGAGAAGTGAATCAAGGCCATACCCAAGTCCTCCCTTCTCTGGGGACCCCTGGGGAGAAGGGAGGGAGGGAGGACAGACTGACAAGTTTTCTGGGTTTGGGACGTCAGAGACCTTCGTGGGGCTGTCCTCTGGCCTAGCTTAGGCCCTGGATATCACTGAACCTGTTTCCTGCTCTGAAAAAGTGGGACAGCCACCAATGTGGCAGTGACAGCTGGAGGTGACTGCACCGTCACAGGCAGCCCTGTTCCCCTCGTGGGTTCGCTCGATCCCACATCGGCCACGAATTCTGTGTATGCAGGAAAAGGGCCCTGCCGCCTCTCACCACGCCCTGGACACTCCAATGAGGACCAATGTCACCCTGCTTCCTGTTTGGGGCAAATCTCACTGCAACCCTGGCTGGGACGAGAGCCCGCCCGCCCCCGGCGCCCTTTTGCCCGCAGTGCTTGCGTGGGTGGCTGCTGGGATCCGCCTGCCAGGCTCAGTGCCGGCCATACGGGAGCTTCCTCCGCCAGGGAACTCGGAGCTCCGCTGGGAACAGCAGCCCAAGCCCTCTTCCTGCGTCCTGGTTGCAGATTCCAACCAAATCCCCGGGGAAAGAGCCCTCCCCAAGAGAGTGAGCGCCCACGCAGCCTCCAACTGGACCTGCAGTCCAGCCCACGCAGGCCTCGCCTCGCCCAGGCCCACGCGTGGACACTTCCCCAGGCGCCCGTCCCCTGGTGACCCATAACATTTTCCTGAGAAAATGAAAATGCCAGGGAAAGAACCGATTAATGGGTTCGAATCCTCTTTCTGCCTCCTGCCCTTCCCTGGCTCGATACTGAATTTCAAATGATCAGGAAACCTGGAAAAGGGCGTCCCATCCCGCAGCTACTCCTAGATCTCTCCTAGGAGCCTACTCTTCCCATTAGATGGGAGTACGGCTATTGTGCATCCGCCTGCTAATTAGAAATCCCCCAACCAGATGGGGAGGAGGAGTTTTCCTGTGTACCCCGGAAGGCAGGGACAGCAGCCCCTAAGGGGCCTCTTCAGGTTACACCCAAACACAAGCACGGCGAGACTTGCAAACCGGAGGTCTTGACTCCAATGTTTCATGTTTAAATAAAGTGGGGGAGAACACAGTTGAAACAGTCAAGTAATTGAAAATGTGTATATTCGTCCTGGGACTTCCTTTGTGTTGGTGGGTGTGGGGGATACAATCCGGGAGGTCAGTTCGCTGTTTCCTGGTTAAAAAACAAAAATAGCCCCGCCATCCCCCCACCCCACCCCACCGAGTTTCTAATTTCTGGCTATGGAATTGGGGGGAAAAAGGCCTCAAATTGTGGCGGGACTGCAGGGATTGACAGGAGAGCTGGGTGGCCTGGCTCGGGGTCCTTGATGTCCTGGGGTCTCAGTTTTCTCCTCCGTCAGATGGGACAAGGTTGAACTCGCAGGACTGCTGGGAAGAATCAACAAAGCTGCCTCTGAAAACGCTTTGTCCTGACGAACTGTTTGGGACCTGGGCCAAAAGAAATGGAGGCCGCAGCAGGGAAGGGTGCGGGTCTGGCCCTGGCCGGTCAGACCACCTGATGCCCCAGCCCAGGGGAAGGGAGCTTTCGCTGCTACGCCCCCAGGCCCGTCTCAGCTTCTGTTTGTGTTGGCCACGTTGTGATGGTCCTGCCGGCTTTGCCAACAGGATTCGGGTGTTTGCTCTCCCGTCCAGCATGGCTGCAGGAGCAGCTGGCATTCTGCTCCTGATTATCAAGCCGACTGCTGTTGCTCCAGGCAAGAGAAATGTGTCAGCACCGCTCCTGCCCTTTTCACATATGGATGTGTCCCATTTTTACATTTAATTTTATTTATTTATTGGTACTAGCAACTGAGCCTGGGACCTTTGCACTGAGCTCCATCCCCAGCCCTTTTTGTTGGGGAAGGTGGGGAACAGGGTAATTTGCCCAGGCTGGGCTCAAACATGCAATCCTGGGCCGGGGACTTGGCTCAGGGGCTCTGCCGCCTGCCTCAAACATGCAATCCTCCTGCCTCAGCCTCCCATTTTATCATCCTCCTTGTCACAAGAGTCCCGGACTTACAAAAGGAGGGTGGCAAATGGATAGCATCTTTAAAATGGTTGCTCAAAAGTTAGGAGGAATCAGGAAGTCAGCCAGGTAAGGAAATTAGCCAGAGAACCAGTCACCCATGCGAGCTCAAGGTCTTCATTGTCTTCCTAACCATTTGCAAAACACATTTTATGGCTTTTGTAGATGCCCTGAGTTGAAATACCACCACCACCGTAATTCAGCTAAGTGACACAGCAGCTGTAAAGACAAGGGCTGTGCAAGATTACAGTTGGTTCACGTAGTCGGGGGCGATGCAAGGCACTGGCAACAGCTGCCAGTCTGCCCGACTCGCACCCTGCAGGGTGAAGGAAAGCTGGGCCCTGCAGCCATCCCTTAAGCCTAGCAAGAGGTGCACAGCCTGTCTGCGGTGGGTGGGCTTTTCCAGTAGGGGCTGTGCCGGATGATTGGCCCCCAAACCTGCCCATGCATCAGAATCCCCTGGGGGAGCTTTATCTGTTCACTCATTCATTCATTGAGGTGCTGGGGATTGAACCAAGGGCTCCCACTCAAGCTAAGCACCTGCTCAACCACTGAGCCACATCCCCAGCCTGAGGGAGCTCCAAGTCCAGGACACCCCCACCTTGAGCCATTCAGCCCAGGAGGACCGTGCATCCTGTGAGTCCCTACACAGTTCCCATCCCAGGGACCAGGAGGACCTGCCCGGTCCAGGTGGCTCTTTTTAACAGTATGGTCTTCAGGAACATTACATCTGCACTTGGAAACATTTTTTTTTAATCAGGGTTGCTCTTTTAAATCAGTCTGAGAGCTGGGGAGGGTGGCGCTCACCTGTAATCCCAGCACTTGGGAGGCTGAGGCAGAAAGATCCTCTGGAGTTCGAGGCCACCCTGGACTACATAGTGAGACCTTGTCTCAAAATTAAAAAAAATAGGGCCAGGGATTTAGCTCAACGGTTCGGTGGCCTGCCTTGCAAGCACAAGGACCCAAGTTCAATCCCTGGTACCAAAAAACAAACAAACAAAAATTTTAAAAAATAAAAAAGAGAGCCAAGATGGAGCCCGGGATTTAGCTCAGTGGCGCCACCACCTGCCTCACAAGCTCAAGGTACCAAATTCGATCCCCAGTACAAAAAAAAAAAAAAAACTAAATGATCTCTCCCACTTCTGTCCATAATCCATGCTGGTCCAGCTGGCTTGGACTAGGCTTCAGGTCTTTGTTTTGTTTTTATGTTTTGTTTTTTGAGACAGGGTCTCACTATGTAGTTGAAACTGACCTGGAACTCACTTTGTAGCCCAGGCTGGCCTTGAACTCACAGCGATCCTCCTGCCTCAGCCTCCTGAGTGCTGGGATGACAGGCGTGCACCACCATGCCTGGTTTAAGGCCTCAGGTCTTTAGCATATAGTCTGTGTTTTCTTCTCGGTCTCCACGCTGTGCCCCATGCCTTGTACTGGCACTGACAACCCCAATGACACTTCTGGCCCCTTCAAACATCAGTACCCTCACAGTGTACTTGGTCGCCACGGTGTTTCCTTCTCTCTAGTGACAGCTGGTGGCCCTCGACACAGACATCCAGCGGACAGCGGCTCTTGCAGCCCCGGGGCTAAACAGGCAGGGAGTGGCCAGGGCTGAGTGCACGGCTGGGTTGTGCCTTCTCCTGGGAAAACCCAAAGCTCTAAAGCCTCATGAAAATGTGGGGCTCCTTGCTCAGAAATGATTCAGAATTTCAAGATGGCTTTACAGCATCACGCCCGGCGTGGGCCCCTGAAGGACTACGCAGATTGCCCGTCTGTGAAGATGGCCCTGTCTCTAAGAGCAAGGCTGCCGGCACCAAAATGCCCCTTAAAAGACCAGAAAAAAAAAAATTCTGGCTCTTCCTAAGAGACAGCGCGGGGAGAGGGCTGGAGAAGCAGAGGCAGGTGTGAACTGGGGAGGTTTTGCTCCTCTGTCCCTGCTAACCAGGGCCGCCTGCCATCCCAGTGGGCCCTGACTTACTGACAGGTAAGTGATGCCGGAAAGCCTTGCTACGCAGCCCAGATGGGGACGCCAGGTTGGGTGGGTGTTTTCTCGCAGCTGGACACCTGGACTGAATCTAACGTCTCCATTCAACACCTTGGACAATTAAGGCCTGAAGGGTGCTGGTGACGTTTGCTTTTTGTTTTGTTTTGTTTTTTGAGACAGGGTCCCGCTATGTAACTCAGGCTGGCCTTGAACTATATAGCCCAGGCTGGTCTCTGACCCATGTCAACCCTCCTGCCTCAGCCTCCTGTGTGCTAGGATCACAGACGTGCCCCACCACTCCTGACTTCCCCAGATGTTCTTGAGGCCAGAAATCCATTCTATTAGAATCCGCAAGGCAGGGCGGGTTCACATCGTGAAGAAAGTGTGCAGATTTCTCCTCTCCCCCTCCCCGGGCTCCACGAGGGACCTAACCCGGAAACAGGAAATGAAACCAAGGCCAGAGAAGGAACAGCAGATACGGATGTTAAATTGACATCCGGGAGGCGCTAGGAGGAGATGGAGGCACCACCACGCCCCAGAGAGGGCCACTCGGGCTCTAGGTTCTTAGCAAGAAAGGCACAGCTTCCTGCAGACTGTTCATTCCAAGACATTCTACAGCCTGCAGACTGGGAAGGGCAATCAGGAGGACCCATCTTCCACCTCCGCTTCCCGGTCGTCCTCCGGGCAGGCTCCTTGTCCGGGCGTTGAGCGAGGCAGTTTATTTTATTACTGTACACGTGAGAGGAAGGAAGATCATCTCTCAGGTCCCTGGAAGACACATCTGCAGGCTGGGTCCTTCTGGGCCAGAAGGGAGGCAGCAGGAAGATGCCTGGGTGCTGAGGCCAAAAGTCTTTGAGCAGGAAGAGGTCATCGTGATCTTGGACTGATGAGCTTGCGGCTTTGAGCTCAGCCCCGACTGTCGTCTGTCCCCAGCGATGAAGCTCACGGGCACAGGCTGTCGGGGAGCTGAGGACTCCGGGCCGAACCCCCGGACGGCTGCCCGTGGGGGATGGTCCGGGGCGACGGCGGCACCGGTCACGGAGAAGTCATGGTCCTACAGCACCGTCCTCAAACTGGGAGGCTGTTGGCTTCCGGGGTGCGAGTGAGGGGCACTGATCAGACCGGGGCTTCTAGGTGAGCAAATGAAACTCTTAGTTGACTCTAAACGTTGCAGACGCTGGGGGGAAAGATAAATCACTTCTTTGGAGTCAGAGGTAGGGAAGGAAAAAAATATGGCAGAAATCCAATCTGATTCTGGGGAGGAAAAAAAAAGATTTTTCTTAGATTTTCTTTAAAATAGCTGCTGGGAGGTCAAAAGGCCAAGGAACTCACCATTACCGTTCCTACCTAGGTATCAGGAAATATTCAGGTGCTTCGCATCCACAGCCACCAGAAACTCATTTTACTACATAATGTTCTCCCTGCAGTCTGACATTTCACGTGCCTCATTTAAGAGCAGCAGAGACAGCCGGCTGGAGATGGTATGGTGGGAGTGGTTAAGAAGCTGTGTGGCCCTGGATGAGTCACTTAACCTTTCTGAGCCTAGTAATGCCTTAGGGCTGAGGGGGAAACACTGTCACTTATCACTGAAGCTATCCACATTACCAGGGCTAACCATCCTCAAATCTTACAAAAGAAATAATTTAGCCCCCAGAATTCAACTGCTGCCCAGATCTGCACCCCAGACACAGGGACTAATCCATCATGAGTGTGGCCAGATGCCGGGCGTCGTGGCTCACACCTGTGATCCCAGCACTCGGGAGGCTGAGGCAGGAGGATCGCTGTGAGTTCAAGACCAGCCTGGGCTACATAGTGAGTTCCAGGTCAGTCTCAACTATACAGTGAGACCCTGTCTCAAAAAACCAAAAAAAAACCAAAAAGAGTGTAGCCAGAGGAGAGAGAATGAGATCAGTTATAAAGACTTCAAGGAGACCCTGTCAAAAAACCAAAAAAAAACCAAAAAGAGTGTAGCCAGAGGAGAGAGAATGAGATCAGTTATAAAGACTTCAGCAGAAAAATGGAGGAATCATTCAGGGATCCGTCCCAGAAATGGGTCGGGACAGGCTCTGAGTTCTTGCCAGAGTAGGAAGCAGCAAGAGGCACTGAAGCTGTGTGTCCCGAGTCTGTCACCTCTAAGGGAGGGCAAGTCACTTCGTGCCCTCAAATCTTGATCTTCTTCGTCTGTAAATTGGGGAGCAGCTCCTCGCTGATCTCACCGGCGAGGGTTCTATGAGATGCGGTCTGCATTGTAGTTTAGATCTAGAACGTGACCAGAGGTGGAGCTGCGGGAAGGTGACCGGGTCACGGGATGCTGTGCCCAGCGGATTCATGCAGTGAGGAACTTCGTGGCTGAATGTGGGGCCTGGCCAGAAGAGGGGCCCCTGGGGGTGTGACCTGGAAGGGCATTTTCCGGGTCCTCCCTGCCCTGCGTCCCGGCTGCCATGAGGGGAGCAGCTCTCCTCCCACCAGGCCCTTCACGAAGCCCTCTGAAGCTGTGAGCCGAAACAAACCTCTCCTCCTGCACGGTGCAGGGGTTGAGTGCTTTGTTCCAGGATAGGGAAGTGACTAATACGGTACGGTATGTAAGCTTGATGTGTGTAAGGTACTACTATTATATACAAGAAAGAAAGGAAGAAAAGAAAAGGCCTGGTTCAACACGAGGACCACATACACCCTGCTGCATTTGTAAGTCAATGCGTGCTAGACAGGCATCCTGCTGTAAGTACTTAGTCTTCGTGATACAGTATTCCAGGGGCCCCGCTGCTCCCTGAGGATAATGCCTTCACCCAGGGTCCACCGACTGTGCCCACAGCTTCAGCTCAAGAATAATACGAGGTCAGGCGTGGTGGCGTAGGCCTAGAATCCCAGCACTCGGGAGGCTGAGGCAGGAGGATCGCTGTGAGTTCGAGACCAGTCTGGGCTACATTGTGAGTTGCAGGTCAGTCTGAACTACATAGTGAGACCCTGTCTCAAAAAAAAATAAGAGTAATACGAGGTCAGGCGTGGTGGCGTAGGCCTAGAATCCCAGCACTCTGAGAATTAAGGGCCGGCCTGGGTGACATAGTGAGAGCCCGGCTCAAAAAAAAAAAGTAAGGATTTAAAAGGCTTGGGAATAAGAAGTACGTGAGTTCAATCTCCAGTAGCATTTTTTAAAAGGAAAGAAAAAACAGAAGGCTACATTTAGCTGTTTGGACTTATGGGATCTTGTTCCAACACCGCAGGCCTGCAGAGGTTCCCCCCACGACTGATCATGAAGGAAGTTCTGGAAACACCGCTCTCTGCTCTTTGTGGTGAGAGGACATCAGAGAAGCTTCAGAAATATAGGTTCCTAGGCCTGCCACACAGGGCCTGCTGACTCAAGATCTGTGGAGAGCAGGCCCTGAATATGCATTCACCCCTGTACTGGGGATTGAGCCCAGGGCCTTCGGACTAATCCCAGGCCCGTTTATTTTTATACTTTTGAGACAGGGTCCCGTTAAGTTGCTAAACCACACAGGCCAGGGTTGAACTCAAGATCCTCCTGCCTCAGCCTCCTGAGTGCTGGATGATGGGTGTTTGGATGGAGGGAAATCTCTGTCATCTGCTTACCTGTATACTTTATAAGTCCATCCATCTCCTACCTACTCAACACTCCAGAGAAACAGACAGCTGCGCCCATCGCACAGGAACACACCAAGGGAGGACGGGCCGCCTACCTTCCCATCACATTCTCTGTGGCCCGAGACCAGGCAGTGGCCGTAGGTGTCCCGATCTTGAGGACTCAGGTCTCTCACAGCCCCTGTGTGGCTTCTGCCCGGCCTCTGGTCCAGGTGGGCTGGGGTGGCAACCACCAGGAGGTCCTTGAGGGACACATCACGGTTCTGGGGACTCTGCAAGAGGACGAGGGGGCACACACCCAGCTTCCGCTTCTCGCCAGAGCTGCGCCTGCCAGGGCAGCGCTCCCCGAGCAGGGCGGGGTGTTCTGGAAAGGCAGAGTCGTGGGTACCATCAGTCTTCGCTGCCCGACTCTGTACAGCTTCCTGCCCGGGGCCGTTTCCCACGAGGGCGCAGAGGCCTGAACCTGGCTGTGGCACTCAGGGAGAGAATGGGCCGCTGCTGCTCTCCTCCAGAAGTTTGTCCTCCCCGCCCTAAGGGTCAGACTGACCGGAAGGGAGCCGGGGTGTGTTAAGGGGCTCAGCTCGCCAGCGGAGCTTTGCTGTCCTGTCAATCACACTAGGGACGCCTCCTGCCATTGCCACCAAGGGACAGCCTGACCACGCAACCACGGACACCATGAGCCCAGATAAACCTCTCCTCTTCATAAGCTAGTGACCTCGGGTGCTCTGCTGTAGTTCTGGAACGCTGGCGCGCACACCTCGGCTCCTGGCACACCCTGGCGTGTCCGGGCACCCGTGTGACTGGGCACTAAGCAGCAGCCGTGGGTTGTGATGAGCAGGGAGCAGGGCCAGCCTCCTCTTCAGCAGCTCCGACACCAAGCCCTGCTCCTTCCTGTCCCTCTTTAGCCAGGTCCAGTTTGAAGTTGAATTCCGCACCACCGGCTGGGGTGTGATAGGCGTGGAAGGCTGTGCTGTCTCCTGGGTGAGTTGCTGCGGGGTCTGCTGCTGCTGCCGCCGCTTGCACTGAAAGGAGACAACCCTGACCAGCGTGGGGCTGCGGAGTTCAGAGCTGGTGGTCGGAGGTGGGCTGGGCAGGGACTCTGGAGAGGCCCAGGACCTAGCTGTGGATTCTGGGAAAATTTCTACGGAGGTCCAGGGCTGAAAGAGAAAACAGTCTACAAGGAGATTGTGGAAAGGAAAAGACTCCTTCCTGTGCTATTCTTGGGTGAAAAAAACAGAAATAGTTCAAAGTGGTCAATTAAGAGCGGGGACCTGGCATGAGGCTGAGGCAGGAGGATCTTCGTGAGTTTGAGGCCAGCATGGTTTAGGTAGTGAGAGCCTGTCACAATTTTTAAAAAGAAAGAAAGAGATAGTTAGTTAGATAGATAGATAGATAGATAGATAGATAGATAGATAGATAGATGATAGATGGATAAGACTGAGCAAGCTAGGGCAGTAGCAATGAGAAAGATTTAGGTTAGGAGAACAGCCTGTCACAATTTTTAAAAAGAAAGAAAGAGATAGTTAGATAGATAGATAGATAGATAGATAGATAGATAGATAGATAGATAGATAGATAGATACATGATAGATGGATAAGACTGAGCAAGCTAGGGCAGTAGCAATGAGAAAGATTTAGGTTAGGAGAGTTTCCTAATCATGAAATGGTTAAACATCAGGGCAGAAGATGAGATGGTGGAAGGGATCCACAGCCTTCTCTAGAGGTCTTTAACATGTAAGAGGTAGACCGGGAATCAGAGAAATAGGCATCCTTTTATACCTTTCAGACTGGCAAAGATTAGAAAGCTGGATAACGTAGTCTTGGTGGGTATGGGGCCCTTTGCCACTGCAGATGTAGAAAGTATGATACGGGCCATCGCTAACCATCCAGTAAGTTTTGGTGAAGTGAATCAGATGCCCTGTGAGCGAGCAGTTCTGCTGAGATAGCTCTCTCTACAGACAGGCACATAGACAGAATCAGCTCCTTAACATGAGGTACGCCGGTCTCAGGTCTTCACAGCAGCGTTACTCACCAAAAGATGGAAACAATCTCAGTTTCCACCTGGATGTGGGAAGGAAAAATGTGATGTAGACACAGACTGAAACCCTAGTCAGCCTAACAAGGAAAGGAGATTTTTTTTTTTTAATTTTTTGGGTACTGGGATCAAACTTGGGACCTTCCGCTTGTGAAGCTGGTAGTGGCGGGACCACTGAGCTAAATCCCCGGCCGGGAGACGCTGCTATAGGTTCCAGTAGCAATGGAGTTGGAAAACATCATGCTCAGAGAAATGACTCAGACGCAAAAGCAGCAATACGGTATGATCCCTTCTACAAGGCAGGTGGAGGAGTCAGATGCAGAGGGACAGAAAGTAAGACAGAAGTCACAGGGGCTGGGAGAAGGGAAGAATCAAAATGAAAACGCAGATGAGAGGCAGGAGGAGCTGTGAGTTCGAGACCAGCCTGGGCTACTCAGTGCGCTCCAGGTCAGTCCCACTACATAGTGAGACCTTGTCTCAAAAAACAAACAAACAAAAAGGTGAAACAAAGACATTTTAAGATAAACAGAAAATGTATCACCTAGCAGATAGAGGCACCCTCCAATAGCAAAGGGATATCCTCCAACAAAAGTAACTTCAAATATGCATCTTGGGGCCGGGGATGTGGCTCAGTGGGGCTGCGCCTGCCTCGCAATCACAAGGTCCTGAGTTCGATCCCTGTTATCAGCAAAACAAACAAATAAAAGACATCTTTTTCTTAATTTAAAAAAATCCTATAAAAATGAAAATCTTATGACTATTTATGGAGCTGGGGATGTTGCTCAGCATAAGGTACTTGCCTAGCGTGTGTGAGGCACTGGGTTCCATCCTCAGCACTAAAAAACTATAACTGAAAAGGCAACAGATAAGTTAATACTACCAAATACTCAATTTTCTTTTAGGTTCTGTTTTTTTTAAACTGGGAATCCAACTCAGGACCTTGTGTTTGTGAGGCAGGCGGCAGAACCACTGAGCTAAATTCCCCAGCCCACGGGGTTTTCTTCTGAGACAGGGATCTCACTACGTAGTAAACTACTGGCTGGCATTGAACTCACAACAATCCTCCTGCCTCAGCCTCCTGAGTGCTGGGATTATAGGCCTGCACTGCCAGGCCTGGCAAACTATTCAATGGCAGAAAAGGAGAAATACAGAGGAAAAAAGCAAAAATAAGAAGAGATGAATAGAAAACTACTAATAAAACATCTGCCTTAAAATCAATCCTATTAATGATATTTAATGACAACAAATTAAAAGGCAAAGGGCTGTTATGCCGAATAAAAAAGCATAACCCACCACATCTGACTGAAGAGAGACCCTAAATGCCAGCAATAAGAGAAGCTCTTCTCAAGTGCATACGGGGCTCAGTTCACTCTTCTTTTCCCCGGTGCTGGAGATTAAGGGCAAACAAGGGCCAAGCAAGTGCCGCTGAGCAGCAACTCTAACTCTCTTTTAAAATAGGGCTCCCCCAGGGCTGGGGGTTGAGCTCAGTGGTTCCGCCGCCTGCCTTGCAAGCACAAGGACCCAAGTTCGACCCCCGGTACCAAAAGACAAAAACATAAAATAGTGTTCACCCTAACAGGCACACATAGCACCTCGGGGTTTTGACTTGCCTTTCCCTAATGATCAGCAATGTTGCATTTTTGTTTGTTTTTTATTCTTTGAGACATAGTCCTCCCTATGCAGTTCAGGCTGGCCTCGAACTCACGGTGATCCTCCTGCCTCAGCCTCCCGAGCCCTGGGATTACAGGCGTGTGTCCCCACGTGCCTAGTGTGATGCTGAAGATACCTTCATATGTTTGTTGTCTTTTTGCTTTTGTGTGTGTGGTGTGCGTGTGTACCAGGGGTCAAATCCAAGGGTGTTCAGTCTTGTTAAGTTGCCCAGGTGGGACCTGAACTTGCGATCCTCCTGCTTCAGCTTCCCAGAGTGCTGGGATTATAGGCAGGCACCACCTTGTCCAGCTGGCTTGTTTTTGTTTTGGGGGACTGAACTCAGGACCTTGCACCTTCGAGGCAAGCACAGTGCCACTGAGCTAAGTCCCTGGCCCAATTGAGGGTTTTTTTGATTGAAGTATTCATTCTGGAGACGTCTCCCCCCATTTTTTTTTTTCTAACAGAGAGTCTCACTGTGTAGTTCAGGCTGGCCCCAAACTCTTGGTGATCCTCCTGCCTCAGCCTCCCAGATGCTGGGTTCACAGGTGTGCACTACCACTCCCACCTTTATTCTGTGTATCACCTCTGCTGGTCTGAATGTTTATGCAACCGCAAAACTCAGGCATTGAATACCTTGCCCCAAAAGAGATGGTATTAAGAGCTTTGGAAAATACTCTTGAAAGAGAGGCTGAGAGCTTTTGACCACACAAGGACACAATGAACAGGCATCCACCAGCACTTTTATAGACCTCCCAGGCTCTAGACGTCTGAGAAATAAATTTCTGTCGTTTAGAAGCTCCTAAGCCTAAGGTATTTTGTTCTAGCAACCCAAGCAGCTGCAGACAAAACTTTTTTGTTGTTGTTTTTGAGACAGGGTCTCCTTATGTAGTTGAGACTGACCAGGAACTTACTAAGTAAGCTAGCAACCCAAGCAGCTGCAGACAAAACTTTTTTGTTGTTGTTGTTTTTGAGACAGGGTCTCCTTATGTAGTTGAGACTGACCAGGAACTTACTAAGTAGCCCAGGCTGGACTCAAACTCACACCGATCCTCCTGCCTTAGCCTCCCAAGTGCTGGGATTACAGACATGCGCCACCATGCCCTGCAAAGACAAACTTCTTATCAGACATGGGGCTGCAAATATTTTCTCCGGTTCCGCAAGCTGCCTTGTCACTCTGTTCATTGTTGCCTTTGCTGTGCAGAGATTTTAAGTTTGATGTCATCTCTTTTGCCTAATTTTGTTTTTGCTGCTCATGCTTTTGTTATGGTCCCTAAGAAATCACTGCCAAGTCCAATGTCATGGAGCTCTGAGGCACAGTCTCTTAAAAATGATTTCTAGGGCCAGGGGTTTGGCTTTGTGGTTCTGCTCCTCCCTGGTAAGTGCAAGGGCCTGAGTTCGATCCCCGGCACCAAAAAAAGAATTGATTCCCAAACTGCCTTGTAAACCTATTCATAATCATGGAATTAATTTAGTGGATCATAATTCCTATTGTATTATATTTGAAAGAATAGAATACAGCTGGGTGTGGTAGTATATCACTGTTAATTTCAGCACTCAGGAGGCTGAGGCAGAAGGATCTTGAGGTCCAGGCTAGGCTGGGGTACACAGCAATTTCAAGGCCAGCCTGAACTGCACACCTAGTGTGACCCTGTCTCAGAAAAGTAAAATTGAGGGCCGGGGATTTAGCTCAGTGGTGCCGCCACCCGTCTCACAAACGCAAGGACCAAGTTCGATCCCCCGGTACAAGAAAAAAAGAAGTAAAATTGAATAGTACAGAATAGAAAATATCCAATAAGTCACCTTAGGCAGTGTGGCTAAGGACTGTTTTAGAAACTTTCTTCCAAACTGGGCATGGTGGCCCACGCCTATAAACCCAGCACTCAGGAGGCTGAGGCAGGAGAATCGCCCTGAGTTCTAGGCCAGCCCAGGCTGCATAGTCAGTTCAAGGCCAGGTGAACCACAAAGCAAGACCCAGACTCACATTAAAATAAATAAATAAATAAATAAATAAATAGAATAAAACCTTTCTTCCATCATGCGATGGGCTGTGAAACAAAATGGATTTTGTTCTGTGGCTATGGTTAGAAATTTTGGAAAATGCTGCAGTGCTGCCCTTGGCAGCTGGACCAGCTGCTTTTCCAGTAGAGCTGAGCCAGCACTCAGGCCACAGCGTGACAACACGGAGGGACCCGTGCTACAGCAGTAGGGACCGCACTGTGTTCCTGCAGGACTAGAACATTGCTACACTAAATTAGCATCTTTACTTGGATTCGGCTCAGGCCGTCTCGGCTTGCTTCTGTATTTGCAGATCTGTAAGTGCAGTTGCCTTTCAGCCCCAGTTGGCCCTGGGACCACCCCAACCTCATGTGTCAAAAAAAAAAGAAAGAAAGAAAACAAAGTTTAGATGATGAGTACAGGTGCAACTTTTTGTTTGTTTTTTGAGACAGGGTCTCACTATGTAATTTAGACAGACCTGGAACTCACTATGAAGCCCAGGCTGGTCTCACAGTGATCCTCCTGCCTCAGCCTCCTGAGTGCCGAGATGACAAGTGTGCGCCACCATGCCTGGGCCGGATGCAATTTTTAAAAATGTTTTTTGATTGCAATTGGTTGAATCTGTGAGTGCAAAACCTGTTGATTATAGTGGGCTGATTGTGTAAAGATTATGTACCCAATTTTATGCTTGTATATACTTATAAAAATAATTTTGCGGGGATTTAGCTCAGTGGTTCTGCTGCCTGCCTTGCAAGCGCAAGGACCCGAGTTAGATCCCTGGTACCAAAAGACAAACAAACAAACAAAAATTTTGTATATATTTATAAACATCATTTATTTGAGGCTGGCCCTGAACTCCTGGGATCAAGCAGCCCTCCTTTCTTAGCCTCCTAAGTAGCTGGACCTACTGTATATCAGTTTGAAAAACACTATTCGGTGGTATACTGAGTTGAAAAATAGCCCCCAAATTCACATCCACCTGGAACCCCAGAATGTGTCCTCATTTAGAAATAGCGTCTTTTTTTTTTCTGGTACTGGGAATGGAACTCAGGGCCTTGTGCTTGCCAGCAGGCGCTATACCGATGAGCTACATCCCCGGCCCAGCAGTAGGGTCTTTGCTGATATAATTTGTCAAGTAAAGGATGTTATACTGCATTAGGGTGGGCCCTAAATCCAGTGACGGGTGTCATTGTGAGAAACCCACGTAGAACTGTGTGTGGTGGCTCACACCTGTCATCCCAGCACTCGGGAGGCTGAGGCAAGAGGATCGCTGTGAGTTCGAGGCCAGCTTGGGCTACATAATGAGTTCAAGGCCAGCCTGAACTGCACAGCGAGACCCTGTGTCAAGACAGAGACAGAGACAAAGAGAGAACCATGGAGGGGGGGCTAGAAAGGGAACAGAGCAGCAGCAGCAGAGGAAGAGTCACCTCGCCACAAATTGAGGAACTCACCGTAATCCCACAAGAAGCAGGCAAGGGTGCCGCTCGGTTTCGGGCTCCTCCGAGCCAGCGGGTCACAGTCCCTAGGCAAACCGTGAGGAGGGGAGCACAGGGCGGCCCCTAAAGTCGTCCCAGGCCCATTCTCCCCGCAGGAAAGAAGTTTTCCAACTTCCCAAGTGGGGGAAACTGAGGCACGGTGTGTGTCAGAGGTCAAGAAGGCCCAGATAGCAGGACCCCCGCCAACCACTCCCAGAGCCCGCTCACTCACCACGGAGCCGGTGGCTGCATTAGTGGCAGGGGCCGGTGTGGCCTCCTTGACGTTAGCATGAGCTTCACAGCACTGCAACCCGGAGCCGGGGCTCCTCCAGTCCAGCTTGGCACTGCAGGGCCTGGCAGCCTTGGGCTCTCGGGACCCAGCTGCCTCGAAGCCACGGCCCCTCTCCTCTTTCTGTCTCTGACACCCAAGAGCCAGCTGTGCGTGCAGGACACCAGAGCCAGCGGCTGGAGGGACTGGGAGGCGGGAACCGACAGGGCCGTGGGGACCGGGCCTCGCCTCCAGATTCCTCTGCCCCCGAGGGGAGGGGCCAGGGAGAAGGAGGAGCCGGATGCGGTCCCTGTTCTGGGCTCTCAGCCTAGAGTCCAGGGCCCCTGAGAGTTCGTAGATGGTTTCCAGGGTCTTCCGGCCACTTGAAACCAGTTTTTAAAAGGTTCACGTGTACATTAGTGCAACAGATTCCATAACTTGTACCGATTCTCAAAGGGTCTGTGACCCTAACAAAGGTAAAACAAAAAACAACAAAACGAAACAAAACAACCCGCAGGGCGTGGTGGCGCATGCCTGTAATCCAGCACTCGGGAGGCTGAGTCAGGAGGATCACAAGTTGATCCCTGCCTGAGCAATGTAGTGAGTCAGCCAGACCTCGTCTCACAATTTAAAAAAGAAAAAAAAAAATAGAGCTTAGGGATGGCGCTCACGCAGAGGCCTTGGGTTCAAGAGTATCAGGAAAAAACATGAAAAACTCCGAAGACTTAGGTGGTATGGCCTGGAGAGCCGCCTACAGCCGGGTGGGCCGCCCGGGCAGGGAGCATGGACCCAGGCAGCGTCCTGCGGTGCGCGGGGGCAGCGTCCTCGTGTCCCCTGTCCCCTCCGTAGTGTGTCTGGGCTCGGAGCAGGGGTGTCCCAGCGGGGGCAGGGTGCCGGCCGCGCGCCCGCCCCTCCCCGCGGGGTTTACTTGTCTGGGGCCGTGGGCCGCCGTCTTGCATTTCTGATGTTGCTTCTGTGGCCGGGGCCTCGAGGCCTCCGCCCTCGCGTGCTCACCCGCCGCCTCCCCCTGCAGCTCCGGTTTCTTCTCCTGCCTCTGGAAGGACTTTTTCTGCTGCCGCAGTTTCAGCTCCTGGATCAGCTGCCTGCGGGCGAAGGACAAGGGGTTGGGGTCAGGCGTGGAGTTGGGGGTGGGGGGCAGGATGGGGGAGCGGAGCCTGTGTCTGCGGGGCAGGGAGCAGGTGTAAAAGAGCCATCCCTCCAGCCACGCCCAGAAGGCGGGCCACTCCCTAGCGCACAGCATCCACTGCGAAGAGGATCTGAGTAGGACGCCAAGGCCAAGCGCTCCCATGTTGAACCATTTCTATTTTCGTTTTCTTTTGTTTCTGGTACCGGGGATCGAACTCAGGACCTTGTGCTAGGGAGGCGGCCGCTGCACTACTGAGCTAAATCCTCGGCCCTTTGCTTTGTTTTTTTAATCAGGGTCTCGCTATGTGGTTGCAGCTGGCCTTGAACTCATTGTGTAGCCCAGGCTGGTCTTGAACTCTCAGCGATCCTCCTGCCTCAGCCTCCCGAGTGCTGGGATGACAGGCCTACATCACCACACCCGGCTTGGACCACTTCATGTGCTCGGCTCTCAGACTAGCAGCCCAGGGAGTGTACAGGGAGACAGAGTAGTTCTAGGCCTTCTTCAGCATCCTCTTGCTGCGTGAACTCGTCTGCCTTGCACCCCCTTCCATAACATGAGGTGGTGCTGGGGACCGAATCAGTGGCGATTCCCTTCCAACTCCCAGACATCACACCTGTGCAAACCCACACAGCAGCCCCGGAGCATCCCAGCCCGTGGATCAGGGCTCTCCCTGCCACCCCAGACCGGCCCAGAGCACCCGGCCTTCCTACCGGGTGCACACCTCCCGAGCTCTGGAGGCAGCTGTATCCTGGAAGAGTGAGCTGTTGTCCTGGAAAAACTCCTCATATTTGTCCAGATTCAGGCTGGGATAAATCAGCCGGAAGCCGCCACAGTTTTCCTTTTCGTATTTCTCGGTTTTCTGTAACCACGCAGCCTGGAAACCTCTGGCTTCCTCCATTCTGCAGGGAGGAAGACACAAGGCTGCCGTTAAAGTGTTCTTGGAAGAGGGCGCGTCCAAGCTGGGTGTCACCCAGGGTCAGACAGAGGCTTCTTGGCATCTAATCGAGGTCAGCTGGTGTTTGGTATTTTGAGACAGGGTCTCACTATGTAGTTGAGACTGACCTGGAACTCACTTATATAGCCCAGGCTGGTCTCGAACTCACAGTGATCCTCCTGCCTCAGCCTCCCGAGTGCTGGGATGACAGGTGTGCGCCACCATGCCCGGCAAAGTCTTTCTGACAATTTACCAGATTCTCTCCATTTCCAAGTAAACCCCGACGCCTGTGCGACCAGGCAGACTGTGGCCCTTATCACCCTGCTCTGGAGAACCACGGCCTGTGTTACTAAATTGGAGGGCTTCTGAGGTGGGCTGAAGGAGCTTTTAGGAGCCACGATGGTCTCATTCTTCCTCACGGCCCCCTGGGGGAGGTGAGGTCAGATGAGGAAACGGGATGAGGCGGAGACGCCAAGAGCCACCAAGGAGTCCAAGGGGTGATGAGAACAGGTTGTCTCGAGGGGCCCTCGGCTTCCTCCGTGGCTGGTCCTCTCACAGCACAGCCTCTGCCCTCCTTCTGGAGTTTAGAGCCGGCAGCACAGCAGGAGGCAGCCTGGAGTCGCAGCGCCCACCATCCCAGGTGCAAGGCTGGGGTAAGCAAGGTGATCTTGCACACTCACTTCCCCTTATGTGTCAGAACGTGATTGGAGGACGGAGGCTTACAGCCAGCTCGGGCTAGGGGCGGGGCCTGTTGGAAGGGGTGGTCCATGGGGCGTGGCCCGGGGTTTCTCTCCATCCCTGGCTCCTCCCTTTGAGCGCAGCTTCCTGTGCGCCATGAGGTGAGCGGCTCTCCTCCGCCAGGCCCTTCCGCAGTACCCTTCTGCCTTGTGCATCTGACCTTGAACGGAAACCTGTCCTTGATGTTGTGGATTTCAGGTATGGTGTCTCAGAGACCCAAAAGTGACTGAGGCAGGTGCCCTTCCAGAGCCTTGCTCTTGGCTTCCAGAGCAGAACCATGCAACATTCATTCTCCCTCCCCTGCCCCTTTCCATGGAAGGCAGTGCCCGGGCCAGTGCCAGGGGAACGGGAGTGCCACTCATCTCCTTAGCACAGAAGCTCAGTACCAAAGCATGAGGCTGGCTCCGCCCCGGAGGACAGCCCAGGACTTGGTCTGAAAGCATCAGGGGCACTTCCTGGACCAGACTCAAGCCTCTGGTGCTGGGATCTCTCTGCGGAACCAAGATCCAAGTTATAAGGAGCAGGGAGAGCCCCTCCTGCCGCTTCAGTAGTATGGCATAGGACTCACAGGTCCTTTCCCTTTTTTTTGGTGCCAGGGTTTGAACTCGGGACCTTGTGTTTGCCAGGCAGGCGGTGACACCACTGAGCTAAATCCCCTGCCCTTTGCCTTTTAGTAAAATCAAAAGATAGACAGGCATGGTGGCACACACATGTAATCCCAGAGAGGCTGAGGCAGGAGGATCACCTTGAGTTTGAGGCCAAACTGGACTGCACAGAGACGCTGTCTCAAAAGGGGAGGGGCTGGTTGCATTTTTTTTATTTTTTTATATTGGCAATTCCTAAATCTTCTCATATTTTTTTTTTTTTTTTTTTGGTACTGGGGATTGAACTCGGGTCCTTGTGCTTGCGAGGCAGGCGGCGGAACCACTGAGATAAATCCCCAGCCCTCTTCTCATAATTTAATCAATTCAAATCCATTATGGGTAGTTATAGGTCTGTAATTTAATCTTCTATTTCAAGGGACAAAGGCATATTCATAATAAAACTATCCAAACTGCTATATCCTGCAACTCTGAACTCACTTTCCAAATAGGATTATTGTTTGTTAGAAATGAGCCTCCCTCCCCCACTCCAGGCAAGATTTATTTCTTTTCTTTTTTTTTTTTCTAAGCAGGGACTCACTGCATGGTTCAGGCTGACCTTGAACTCACTATGTAGCCCTGCTTGGCCTCGAATTCACGGTGATCCTCCTGCCTCAGCCTCCCAAGTGCTGGGATTACAGGCGTGGGCCACCACACTGAGCTCTCTTTTTATGTTGTTTTAGCAGTGCTGGGGATCGAACTTAGGAGGCAGGTGCTTTACCATTGATTGAGGTACATCCTTTTACCCCGGGCAAAATTCTCCGATAGCCTCTTACAAACGCTGCTGCTGGGCCTGGTGCCAAGGCTCTCCGTGAATGATGCCGTGTATTCCCTGCTGCAGTCTGCTGTAGCACGAGTGCCAGCTGACAGAGGGGTCACTGGGGCTGAAGAAGTGACCAACAGGCTACTTAACGGATGGCCCTTCCAGCTGTGACTCAGACCAGGACGGCCAGCGTCACCCTGAGTCAGGGAGGAAGCTCCCCAGGTTGGGGCCAAGGTCAGGGCGCCGCTGTACCTGACCTCCCGAGAATGGCACTGCTGCAGGAACCTGCCCCGCTGTCGCTCCTCCTCCAGGACTCTCTTTTTGTCACAGCTCCCCAGGTTGATGAGAACCAGGGTGTCATACAGCAGCCTGTCCTTTACCTCCTTATCCAGCTGGGTGTCGGTGGAGAAGCTCGGAGAGTGGTTGACCTGCGGGGACAGACAGGGTGGGCGGTGGTGGTGCACGCCTGTCATCCCAGCACTCGGGAGGCTGAGGCAGGAGGATCGCTGTGAATCTGAAGCGAACCTGGGCTGCATAATGAGTTCAAAGCCAGCCTGAACTGCACAGCGAGACACTGTCTCCCAAAAATACACAAATAAATCAGTGTGACTCCGGCGTTGGTACCTGGCACTGGCACTGTGACTGCCGCAGCACACCTTGCTCCCCGGGGCGTCTCCAGTGGGTCCAACCAGGAAGCGGGGTAGCCTCTCAGAAGCCTCCCTTCCTCCTCTCCCCCCAGGAAACGCCGGGTGGTTCCATTTCCAGCACTCTGAGTGCTTGGAGCTGAGTAGTCCGGGTCCCTGAGAGCCGGGTGAGGCAGCTCCCATGTGACCCTGAGCACGGTGGACCCCACTTGGAGGACCCAGGCCCGCTTCCGGGGAGGAGGCGCTGTCACCACAGGCAGAGCTGCCTCGGGATCTCCTCTGTGCACAGCCAGGTCTGGCTGGGCCTCGGGCACTCGGGACTGTCCAATTCCCAGCCATCTACCGCCCCCTGGTGGCCGCTCCGGCTCTCCGTCACACCCGGCCCAGGACACAGCACCGGGGGAGGAGGCAGTGGGAGGCAGCTGCCAGCCAGTTCCCTGGGGCGCCAGGACAGAGGGAGGGCTCCCCAGGCGGGAGGGACGAGGCGTCTCCCCCGGCAGCTCCCCACCTCCAGCAGCCAGGGTTTGAGCTCGCAGTCCAGCAGGATGTCGAAGCCCAGGATCTCGAAGCAGGCGCTGTTGAGGGTGTGGTTGGGGAAGCAGCTCTGGTAGTTGTGCTTGATGACCGGGTGGGCGGCGATGAGGGTCTTGACAATGAGGTCCTCGATGGCCCTCCAGATCCTGGGCACGTCGTAGCCTTGGCTCTCCATGTAGACGTTGAAGGCCGAGAGCTTCCTATGGGGGGCACAGGCCCGGAGCAGGGCAGGCAGACACCTGAACCTCCGGGGATGACCGGACTCTGGGGCTGGGCGCTGAGCACCCGCCTGAAGGGCAGGGACCAGAAGCACCCCCGCTTTTTCAGTAGCAGAGCCTTCACACTGAGCCATTTTTATTTATTTTTTTAGTTTGAGACAAGTTCTCACTAAGTCACTCGATTGCCCAGGCTAAACCCGAAGCTGAGATCTTCCCGCCTCAGCCTCCCAGAGTGCCAGATCACAGCCCTGTGCCACCACACCCAGCTCGGGGAGCCCCTTCAGTATAGTGACACCTTGGAGACCTAGACAGCTTGTTTGTTTAGGGCTGCCCGGAAAGAGCACGCGGCCCAGGGTAATTCCACGGGGCAAGGGTCGCAGGTGTCCCGTGCTCAGGATGGAAAGCCCCACGCTGCAGGAAACCACCTGTCCCAGGCAGGGGGAGATGGCGGACACCCGCCAGCGAGGACAGGGCGGGGAGGGGGCCCTGAGGAAACGCCTGGGTGCAGGGCGCAGTCAGCTCCCTGAGGGGCAGGGACCAAGGAAAAAACCATGCGTCCAAGGACAGACAGGCAAAGTCCGCTCACACAGCAGCCAGGGCTACACCTGCCACGCCCAGGGGGGAGTGCACACAGGAGTGGATTTTCCAGGCCACTTGAAGCCAACTCTCAGTGCAAATACAAAGCATTTTCATTTGCCTAACGGAGAAACAAGATTTCTGAAGATCTACATCTAGATCAGGGATCAAACTCGGGTCTTTGTGCTTTTGAGGCAGACGGCGGAACCACTGAGCTAAATTCCCGGCCCTGAAGATTATATTCCTCCCTGGCTTCTAACAGCAGAGAGGCGACACTTCCTTTTCTGGGTGACTCAGGACCCAGCGTGGTGAATACGCTGGGTTGTGTGAGTCCGCGGTGCCTTGGGGCCACTCGACACCGGCCTCGTGCCAGGCACAGGATGACCCCGGCACCTGGCATCTGCTCCAGAGCCGCAGGCTTGAGAGCCGGTGCTCGGACAGCTGCCCCTGCCGAGGGACTGACTCAGGCGCCGCTGGCCTCGCCTGCCAGCTCTGGGGCAGGGGTGACCGTCGGCATGAGGGCATCGATGGTGTCAAGTGATGGGGAGAGACCAAGGGAGAAGCCCCCGCTCCCCACCACGAGCATTTCCATCAGTGGCCCTCAGAGGCCTGGTGCACAGAAGCGCATGAGCCCCAGAGGGTGACAACCTGGACTTCTCTCCCCACCCTGGCATTTGAGCTGTGTAACCTCTCAGGGACTCAATTCCCTCATCTCAAACATGGCCCTGGCACCAGCCCTGCAGCTCTCCACCTGTAAAGTGTCAGGTGAAAATTTTAACACAAGCACAGCAGGGTTGTATGTGTCTAATCTCAGCACTTGGGAGGCTGAGGCAGGAGGATCACCAAGAGTTCAAGGCCAGCCTGAGCTAAAGAGTGGGATCCTGGCTCAAAGAAAGCAAAACAAAACCAAAAAAAAGCCTCCAAAAAAAAACTCAAAAGAGATCTGGTCAGACAGTAACAGGATTGGAAAAGCTGCCTATGGGAGACTCTCATGAATTCCTCTTTCCCGCTTTCTGGGGACTCTTGGGGCCGGTCAGCTGTGAGTAATGTGCTAGTTCAGTCGAGAATCTCTGTAGCAACACCACCCTGGGAACCAAGGCCAAGGACCCAGCAGGGCCCAGAGAGTCCTTCTCATGCACAGATGAGCAATCAGTAAACATCTGTTGGTCTGGCAGTGTCGGGAGGGCATGTTTTGGAACATGTGTGTGTTCTCTGTCCTCCTCCCGGCCTCTGGGTTTACGATGTGGCCTGCTGTAATGATTAACAGCCGGGAGGGTTGAGCCCAGGAGTCCGGGCTGGGCTGAGAGGCGAGGAAATCTTTTCAGAGACTATGTGTTTCCATGACACGGAAACCCAGGGACCCACAGGGATGGGCAGGGCTTTGGTACAACTGCACAGGGCCGGGGAGAAATAAGCAAAGCCACTCCCTTACCTCTTGCTGCCCGAGTGAGCATCTTGAATAAAGTTTGAACTGTGCTTATTAATGGAATAATTAGTCAGGTGCATGCAGATATCGTCCTGGGGGAAGAGAAACAGACTGTGGTGTCCTCTCCATGTCTCCCCACCCCCCCACACACTGAAAGGGATGGCAAAGAAAGGGAAATCTTAGGATGTGCTTAAACTGGCAAAACAGCCGGGTGTGGTGGCGCACCCCTGCAAGCCTAGCACTCAGGAGGCTGAGGCAGGAGGATTGCTGTGAGTTCAAGGTCAGCCTGGGCTCCCTAGTGAGCTCAAGGCCAGCCTGAACTACACAGCAGGATCCAGTCTCAAAAAAAGAGAAAGGGCCGGGGATTTAGCTCAGTGGTTCTGCCACCTGCCTCGCAAACCCAAGGTCCCAAATTCAATCCCTGATACCAAAAAAAAAAGAGAGAGAGAGAGAGAGAGAGAGAAAGGACACATGGACCCTGGCATGTAGTGAGTGCTTAACAAATGCTAGCCAAAGCAAGGACTCTTTGAGGATGTGGATTTGGGTGGGATTTTAACAGGCTGGGGCCCAGGTCCCCTCTGCTCACCAGGTTGTCCGCACAGGGTTGGGAGTAGGAGGTGGTGGCAAAACGAGCTAGTCCTTCATTGTACACAAAAACCCTGAGAGGGTCGCAGGACGTCACCAGCACATAAATCCGTAGGTCAAACTTGAACCCATCAATGACAAAGGGCTGGGAGGACAGAAGTCACAGTGTCAGAGCAGCCACATGGGACGGCCACTGGTCCCATCTCGGTTTCCAGAAGGGAAAACTCCTTGCTCTGACATCGCCCACGCAAACGCAGCCGTGGCCAGCCTGGGCTGCGTGACTGGACTCGTGGCCTTGGGGAGGTCACTGAGCCACGCCGTGCCTTGGTTTCCTGATCTATGGAATATGGCACAAGTCACCACCTCCGAGAGACAACTCGGCCATGAAACAAAGTGACGTTAAAAGTCCTGTGCCAAGGACACCTGGCTGCCCTCCAGGGCCACCTTAGGGGCACAGTTCTGTGACAATTCTCCCTGGAAGGCTCTCCCAGCTGTGTGTGCTTCCCTCTCCACCAGAAAGTTCCAGAAAGTCCCCTCCCTCCCCACAGCAGGCTGCACTGCTGCTACTGTGACCTCTGACCCAGGAAGGGAAAGAAGCTGGTTTCTCGGATGGCTTCCTCTCCCAAAGGTGGGGAACCGGAATGCAAGGGTGACCGACACCCTGGTTTCCCATCCCACCCTCCGCCCAAGCCCAAGGAGATGTAGCAATGAATAAATAATGCCAATGAGGAAGTACCTTGGAAATATAGAGCTGGCAGATCATATCCTCCCCCGGCTTGATTTCCTTCACCGTCCTGGTGATAAATATCCCACGCCCTTGGCAGCCTGAGTCGGGCTTGCAAATGTATGTCTTGTTTTTTCGCGATCTGCTGTAGGTCTGCAGGCCTCCCCAGCTTAGGGGCAGGGAGAGAAGACAAGCCTTTAGCCCCAAGCAGAGAGGAGGGAGGCTAACACTTTGCACCCAGCAAGGGAGTGACCTGGCTGGTCTCCTTGGGTCAGTTGTCCCCACCCCTGTGGGACTTCATGCTCCACCTGGGATACCTCCGGCTAGGCCCGAGTAGAGGAGGGCAAGTGTTTGGGTGTACTTTTAAAGAAAGCATATTTAGAACAAGAGGACACCGTATTAGTGAATTCTGTGTCTCTGTCTTGCTATAATTTTTTTTTTTTTTTTTTTTTTTTTTT